AGCAGCAAGCCACTAGCCCTGAACATTTGCGCACCCATTTTCCCAAAAATCCTTATTGTCCTTTGTGCCATATAGCAAAAGATACCGCCATGAGGGTTTCACATGTCAAAGATGGCAAAGCCGATGATTTTGTTGATCCCCCAAAGCAGCCGCTGGAACAGCTTGCTACTGATGACGTTATCTTAGCTAAAGGGTCTGAACACTTGGGTGTAGGTATAGGGGGAATAAGGTCGCATCATGTCATCCGCGATGCGTACTCTGGTGCGCGTGTTGCATACCCATTGTCTAAACGTACTGCTGACGCGCATGCTCGCAACTTTAGGCATTTCTTAGGATTGCGTGGATCAGAGCTCACCACCCGAACGTTCATCAAAATGGACGAAGCTGGCGAGCTTGAGCAGGCGGCACATGCCGTAGGCATGGTTCCAGAAACCTCATTGCCGAACAGATGGCCCCACAACGCCATCCTCGAGAGAGATGTTCGAGAGGAAAAGGAATGTTGTCGCACTATTCACCTCCAATCTGGCCTTCCCTACGAGTATCACACATATAGCTATCCATATGCTTGCCTTTCAATGTCTTTCGACAAGCCTTCAATAGCTGACCCCGACAAAACCCAATGGGAGTCGCTTACTAGGAATAAGTTTGATGGCATGAGGTTATGTTTTGGTCAGTTAGTGTATTACCGTAGGAAGTCACCCACCAAAAGGACTTTGGAGCCCAACATGTCACCTGGTCTGTTTTTGGGTTGGAGGATTGATCCCGGTTTCCGATATAGAAATATCTTAAGGGTGTTAGATTACCAAGAGTATCGCACTAGAGGTGGGAATTCAGCCGTTGATGTTCCAGAAGCAGAAATCTTTGTCCCTGAAGGTGATCCTGTTTTTCCAGTAGGTTTTTCACGCCACCAAGCTCTCATCAGGGGGGATAACCCAGATGATCTTAAGTTGCCTGAATATGCCTTAAAGGATGTGCCCTTCCCCAAGGAGGGCGGAATAGCCTCACCCTCTACACCTGGTCTCAAAAGTCGTTCTGTTTATATAACCGTAGACCGTATCCTTAAGTGGAAAGAGACCCCTGGTTGCAAAGGCTGCGCTGGCCATTCGCGCGTGCACACTGATGAGTGTAGAGCTCGCTTCTCAATGTTGGTTGAAAAATAAAAAGAAGCCGAAAAAGAAAAGAAAGCTCCACCACCCGAAAGTGAAACTGAAGCAGAAGACAAGGACGATGAAGCCCATGGCATCATCTTCCAGGGTGAGGACCCGCCTGGCCTTTCCGTAGAAGATATACCATCACACCTTTCCGCTGAAGACAAAGCAATGGTTGAGGAAATCTTCGTAAGAGGTGAGCTACCAGGGTCATCCGAACCCAGTGCTCCAGCCGAGCCTGCTGTTTCTGTTTCTGGTGTAGCTATTCTTCCCCAAGTTGCTAATCGATGTTCCGACCTATGTCAAAAGTCGCTGCCTGTTTTTGGTTGCCCCGCTGTAGGTAAGCCAACTAACCGCGATAATCGTAGGAGCCGGAAAGCTGCCAAGAAAGCTTCCAGACCCAATGCCAAGTCAACCATGTTTGAATTTGCTTGTTCTGAGGACTCCCAGATGGGTTTTACTCACCAAGAATATGGCATTAATCATGTTAGACTTTGTAAGGATAGGATAGACCTGGGAGATGAGTCACAATGTGAGCAACTAGACTATCAGATAGATGAAGCCGCTAAGGTTGCACCTCCACATATGTGGGCCTCTATCCCTTGCACATCCGGATCCCCTTGGCAGTACATCAATAGGAAGAGGGGTGGTGCCGCATTCATTAGGAAGCTTGCCCACCAGGTCAAAGAGTCCAAACGGTTGTTTAAGAGTTTTTCCAAACGCGCTGAAAGGGTTCTCAATCATGGTGGTACTGTAACGTTTGAGTGGCCAAGACCTTGCTCTGGCTGGAAAAGGCCTGACGTTGTAGCATTCTTTGAGAAGCATCCCCAGTTTATGACCGTTGGTTTTGAAGGGTGTACCGTAGGTTTAACCGACAGAAATGGTTATCCCATCAAAAAGCCATGGAAACTCAAGACCACTTCTCCCCGAATTGTAGAGGCGTTTCAAGATATGCGGTGCCGGTGCCAGCAACCTCATTCCAGATGTGAGGGAGCTGAGACCACTCGCTCCGCAATGTATCCGCCCCAAATGACTAGTTTAATTGCGCAAGCTTTGTATCCCTCAAAATGTGCCCAGCAGTCCGTTCCTGCTATGCCTTGCCAACCGGCAACTAGCGAGCCTCAACCCCATAGGGAAATTGAGCAACATCTTAGGCACATATCCCCATTAGCTGGTTTTGAAGATTTAGCCCTAGCTGTTGAATCAGACCCCACTGCTAATAGGTTGGTTACAGAACTTCTTGACCACGAACAATTGATCGCACAAGCCTTCCACCTGGAAGACCCTAAGGCGCCAACGCCTGAGATCAAAGCAATGGTCACTAAGCTCTTATCCCGTGCAGAGATGCTGTCCAATCCCAAGGCCCTTGAGGCAATTCGTGCCGAAGCCGACGGTTTGGTTAAGGCTGGTACTTGGGATCTTGGTTCGGTCCGCGAGAAGGAAGATGTACGCAAAGAAGCTAAGGCTTCAGGTGTGTCAGTACACTTTGGTCAGCTCATGACCATCGCGTCCATTAAATTCTACGAGCTTGCAGACCACCTTCACAAAATGAAGGGGCGCATTGTGTACAGAGGAGACTGCGCAAAGGACGAACATGGTGCAGCCGCGGTTTACCAAGAACTCGGCGCAAATCCCACCTCCGTCCAAGGGCTAAACGCCTGCCTGGCGTATGGGTCGCTGCCGGGTAACCGCGCGACGGCTGCAGATGCAGTCAAAGCTTACGTCCAAGCACTGTTATCTTCCAAATACAAAACCTGGATTGAGCTTCCCCCGGAGCTCCGCCCTAAGTATTGGAAACAACAGTTTGTTAAGCCCGTAGTCCTCTTAATTAAAGCCTTATACGGTCATCCTGATGCCGGAGGCCTGTGGGAACAACACCTGAAAATCATCATCAAGAACCTTGGTGGACAGGAAGTTCTAGAATACCCAGGAAACTTTTACTTCCCAGATACAAAGTTACTTCTGTCAACTTATGTAGACGATTTAACTCTAGCTGGCCCCGCCGACCAGCATGATGCATTCTGGAGTAAGTTAACTTCTGTGGTAGACATTGAACCCCCGGAGCCCATCTATAGGATTCTTGGACGCAACCATGTTGTTACCCCACTGTCCAAGACCGAAGGTCATGAAAAGTGTGCAGCCTTCCGAGCCCAAGATGGCATGGTTTTTGATATGGCAGACTACGCTCAGCAGACCGTAGATTTGTATAAATCAATAACTGGTGTCACCAAACTCAAGCATGCCGCCACGCCATTTCCACCTGAGGGATCCATCACCATTGAAGATGATGAAACTAAAGGGGAACTAGCTCCAAATGCATGTAAGATTTTGATGAAAGCCCTTTGGTTAGGTAGACTTGCACGTCCCGACATCATCAAGCCTATCAATGATCTGGCCACAAAGGTCCAGTCGTGGTCGAGGGGGGATGATAAGAAGGTCCTAAGATTAATCCAGTATATAGCCTCAACACCACACTACAGGTTAGTAGGTACCATTCAGGACAAGCCTGAAGACCTAGAGCTCAGACTGTTTGTCGATGCCGACTTCGCCGGCGACAGATCAACTGCACGCTCAACCTCCGGTGGCTTCTTGGTTTTAACTGGCCCTAGTTCCTTCTTCCCACTTGCTTGGATTAGCAAGCGCCAAACATCCACCTCTAGATCGACCACGGAAAGCGAGGTTGTTAGTTTAGCCCATTCGCTTTATCAAGAAGGCTTGCCTGCCTTACAGTTATGGGAGCTGTTGCTTGCACGCTCCGTAACCCTTAAGGTCCACGAAGATAACCAAGCAACAATCCTAGTAGTGAAGAAAGGATATAGTCCCAAGCTTCGCCATATAACTAGAACGCACAAAGTAAACCTGTCTTGCCTATCTGAAATCTTCCGAGATGACTCTGCTGAAATAGAGTACACCCACACGGATGATCAGGCGGCAGACATATTCACCAAGGCATTACCTCCACATAAATGGGCAGCAGCACTAATCCTCTTAGGAATTCGTACTGACCTTCCCTTAGACCTTAAATCCAAAGCATAGGTCGCTGTGAACGACCGTTCACGCGACAGTAGTTGCTTAGGTGCCTGCCAATGCGCAGTGCGTGTGGAACAGGCGAGGGGGGAGTTGAAATATATCGACCCCTGAGCCCCACCATGTATAGCATGTGCAGGTAGGTCTAGTAGAGGTATGCTGTAGCTATGATTCCAATATACTCCAAGTAGATATCCCCGATATGTACAGCAATAGCACCACCTATGTAGAAGCGTTACATAGGTAGAGTAGCCTTAGATTAGAGGGTAGTACTAGTCCCATCCTAACAACAACCTGGGTGGTAATAATTAGTATGTATCCGACGTCGACTGGCTCAAGTGCCTTCGAGAAAAGGTGCTTGTTGTTTGTTTTCATGCAGGGTTTACCGGATTGGGTTTCCTTCCTTTTGTGGGTGCCTGGTTCGTCCCCCTGTTTGACTTTAATGTCACTTAATATGGTGGCTATAGCAATTTTTGATTAATCCACTAACTTGTATTTCAATTAGCATGTTAGAGGCGCGCATCCTGGAGGCGGGTAGTTCCGGCAAAAAAAATCTTGGTTCATTTTTTGGGGATGTTTTCCACCAGATGGTGATTCCTGGTCACAATTCAGGTTGGATTGTGTCAGTCCAAAAAACAAAAGAGCTACTCTCAGCATGGGCTGAGCTCCATTTGCAAGTAGTAATCATAGTAATCTGAGCTTCGCAAGTGGCATCAACTGGATAACAGTTGTAGCCGGTGGCCAAAAGATGACCATCCCAGCCATCCCATCATATGGGGCTCATGAACCGACCAGTGACTCACAACGGACACCAACCAACGAGAGGCTCTTCTGTGGTGACTTGGGTAACGAGGTCACGGATGATTTGTGCGGAGCCCAGAGGATCAATGTGACATTTCCAGGCCACGATCACCATGAATCTGACATGATACAACCATGATTTTTTTAATATTTCAACATGTTAAAACCCAAGAAACATGGCAATTCTTGGAAATGATCATAAATCAATACAAATCATAGTTTTTGATCAACTGGCGCTGCTAAGCTCAGGTTGGCAAACGCCTTCAGGAAGTACAGTTCTTTCCAGAAGGCCAAGGTGCCTCGGCGGCCTTTGGTATCCTGTGGTGCTGTGATGAGTTGGGAAGTTATTCAAAATGATCTTAAATGTATAGTCAGGAAATATTCACTAAGTGAATGGTTAGATAAATTCAGGGAAACCAAAATTGTGATTTCCCCATATGTATCGATATTCTTTCGAAGTTGGTTGCAGTTTCATGTAAACAAATATCAAGCAAAGTCCTTGCGGTAAATTGAACCGTTCCTATATTTTGGGATATACATATGTCTATATGTGTATATGCATATATTATATAATATCTTGAAAATATGTTGGTGGTGTTTTAGGTTTGGGAGTATGACTCATGTGCCATTCGTATTTGTGACTCTGCGGCTTTCGGTGGGACGCCGTTTGGTTGCTATGTTCTAGGGATAGAGATAATCTTGACTGGTTGTTATTTGTTTTCCAGCAAGCTATTTTTCCCCATCTGGATGATGATGAATGCAGCAGGGGACAAAAAAGGCGACTGGTTGGTGCTTAGTTTTGGCTACATTGTTTTATGGCGCTCTGACCGAAAATTTTGAAGTGTGTGAGTTTTAGATGCTGTAGGTGGTCTGAGCATGTTGCACTCCATCACCCAGAGACAAGAATTTTAGACTCCGAAACACCAAATGATTGCAAAGGGAAAAAAAAAATGGATGCACCGCTCCACCATGATCCACCAAAATTAGATCACCTCTCAGCAACACTTCACCAACGTTCCCAACACCAGTGATGTCCTTGTCCTTCCACCAGGTGATCCGAGACAAGCGTACCGGAAAGACCAAGGGTTTCTTGGAGGAAGTGGATAGCCAAGGGATCCAGCAGAAAATTCATTCCAAACTAGAAATTCATCCAACAATAGAAGTTTCATGGTGGAAAAAAAAGATGGTGGATGATTTTGATGACTATTGAAACTATTGTTGGATGAATTATGGATGATTTTGGCTATTCAATTCAATCTACGGAGTGGTTGTAGTGGTTCTCCACTGACAGGCTAGAGTGCCGCGACGGTGAAGAATGTGCTGGTACTGACAGTACTGACACCACCAACCAGTCAACTAATGTACTAAACGCCGAGAATAAATGGAATAAATGGAATAAATGGAATAAATGGAATAAATGATCCCTAATCTTGCAGCAATATTTGTCATCCAACCATGGGTGCATCCTGTGGCCATGACCAATAGCCAGGACCAGTCCAGAGTTCCCGATGGCCTGCAGGTTTTTTCATTGTACCCTCATGACAACTGCCATGATTGCCATGGAACCTCCACACATAATTGGATTTGGAAGATTATATCCATGATATATTCTGATATATTCTGATATATTCTGATATATTCTGATATTCCAGTTGGAGGTTGGCTTTTTTGGGGTTTTCCATATGTTTCCATGCTGAATTTCATGAATGCTGGGCCTTGGGCATCTGGGCGGCTCTGATTCAGGCTATGGTTTCGTCTCCTTCAGTGCACCCGAGGATGATCATGTTTTTGGGGAAGTTGGCAGACATGTAGTGGTTGGTGGTTTCAAACATGTGTTTACTTCTCTTGGAATATTCGGAATAACCCATAATTATGCGAAAAAACTTATGGGTAATGGGTGATTTGATGGGAAATTCCATGGTTAATCACTATAATGAATGGAAAATTCATGGAAATTTCAGCCAGAATCAACGGAAATTTCACCGTGACATCCACCCAGCTGGCCTCCTTTGGCAGGACATGGTGGCCGCTCTGCGCGACGTGAACGGCCGCTATGTGGGCAATCGACCCGTGCGACTGAAGAAGAGCAACTGGAAGGCGCGGTGCTTCGGATAGGCCCAATTGGGTTATACAAAATTACTGGTATAGTGAAATATATAATGGGGATATATTGGTTAATTTTGGGGATATTGGTATAATTGGGTATTTTGGCGAACAAAAAAAAGGTGGTATGATCCAACAGAATGGGAACATAATGGGATATACATATATATATATATAGCCAACCATTTGATGTTTCAAGTCGCCAATAAATTCTGGGGATTTATGGTATGTGGGAAATATCCAAGAAATATTAGGGGTCCATTGGGTTTTGTTTTGTGGTTTGACCATTAAACATTGTGATTCTTTGAAATGAGAAGCAAATATTGGGCGACATCCTCTATTGGCTGACAAGTAACCACCAACGAGTCTGTTTTTGGGACAAAGACGGTGTAGTTTTACCCATTAAACTTGGGAAAATCTGACTAAACCAGTTGAAAGAACATGTTTAGGAAATAGCTTAGTTGAACCAATAAAGAATGAAGGTTGGATTGTCTACTGGCTGGTCACTGGCAATAAAGACTGGTGGTTTAATGTGGTTCAACCAATAAAGAACTGGGGAAATGGCTGTTGGGTAGTGAAAAATTGCATTCCCAGCAGTTACAGGAAATCTAGTAAAATTAGTGTGTCAACTAACAGAAAACCACTTATCAATAGAGGTATAAACCAAGTTTAGGTGAAATAAACTCGGATGGATCAATACCTATGGAATCTTCAGGACGGTATGAATATCCATGCCTACCAGCTATTGGTGTGAACAGCACATCAGCGTTCTGACCCCCAAGGTTGATGAAATCCTGACCTTTGTTGAGATCAATCCCCATTTTGGTTGGCCAAATTCTGCTGTTTACTGCTGAAAACGGTGTTCTTATCGATTAGATAAGCCGGATATCTATATTCCTTGTTGACTGGGTAAACCGACTGCGCCATGATCGGTTCGTGAGGTTCGTGAAGTGTTTTCAACCATGATTTTTCATGGAGATCTCTTGGATATCCCTCGAAATCATGAGTTTTCATGGCATAGTTCTTCACGTCGAAAGGGGCTGTGAAACATGTTGAAACCCGACATGCCCTGGTAGAAAGCTGCACCAGTCAGTTCACCGACCAACATGAGTGGCACCAAACTTCGGTGAGACCCAATGATAGTAAGCTTACTACTGCCCCAATCTTGGAGACACAAAACATCCGACAAAAAAATGACAAACAATTCTTTCATGGTATCATGGGGGGGGGGAGGGGGGGGGGGGGCAGGGCCTGGTGCATATATATATACTGTATATATATATATAGAAATAGAAATCATGTAAAGATCCCCAGTTGTTCGTGTTTTTCTCACCTTGGACCTCCGTTTTTCCCAGGACAAAGGTATCGACTCTGAGAAGAACGGCGCCTCCTTGCTGTGACTCGGTGATGAATGAGTTGGTCCCAGTGGAGCGATAAGTTTTATCCCGGTAACGGACCCAAAAATGAATAGATAGATCCAAGAACCATATACCATCATATACCATTAGTATACCCATACCAATCCAAGGACACCTCATTTTGGTGTCCCTATTTTCGATTTCATAGGAGTTGAAGAAAAATGTGCTCGGTAATGTGGGAACACACAAGGTGTCGCCAACAGAAATCAGCTCAGAAATACATCAAATCGGGCACGGTAAATGTACCTTGGGTTTTTGCAACATCGTTGAACTCTTGGAGGGTTGGTGGAGATGATATCCCCAATAGTTGGCAGATGACTGACACATCTTCTGTGGCCATCCCCCCAGCTGTGACGAGGCGAAAGCTGAGCTATTGTATTCCACAAGATTCCAAGAAGTTGCAGAAGTTCAAAAAGCTGAAGATCAAGCAGGACACCATGGACACCTTGAAACGCTTAGATTGTGCCATTGCGCCATGGCCATTGGGGAGGCAAGGTTAGATGTTACACATCACATCAGCATTCATCAATACACCCAGATCTTGAACCATCTTGAACCCAAAAAGTAGCGAGTTTCATCTCGTTGAGTCATAGACCGATAGACCTGGCAGGATCCCAACATCCAGAAGGAACGTGTAAAGCTGGCGCGACAGCAAGAGGAGCGGCACCAGACGGGGAAACAAATGCAGCAGGAATTACCCAGCAAGGTCACAAGTAAATGATAGCCACAAGCGGGGCAAATTTGATCATTTTACCTCTATATTTACATATTTTTACACCTCTTGTAGTGTTGGGAGCAACGGTGAAAAGTGTGGGACTTAGATCCCCTATGATAGGGATGAATGAAGTATTAGCCAGTCTCAATATCCCCCAAGCTTGAGATACTTGGGTATTTCATGAACAAACAAAAAATTGGAATGATATGCAGTTCGATACCAAGGGGATTTATTGTGAAATGCTCATGGTAAACCAAATGCTCTGCCTTGTTGGGACCAGTTTTTTTCCCAATCGGCAAGTCATTGAGTCGGGCTGGTTGATTCCTTGAACTCCAGGAGTTGGCGAATATGGCGCGAAAGAAGAAATGACCTGCCGGTGATGGCGGATGTTTCCCAGGTGCTGTCGAAGATATTAAGCCGTTGAAGCTATTGAAAGCTCTTTAAAGATAGGAATGGAAGGTCAAGTGTGTTTGGAACACCCAGATTTCCAGTTTTGTAACTTTGAAGTAGGTTGATTCAGATCCAACCAGTAAACCTTCAATTTCAGCATGTTGCAGAGACCTTGAGATCTCGTGGCACCTTGGCACCTGGGAATGTAGAGAAATCGAGTCGCACCGCACCCTGATCCAAATGGCGCGGCTTGTTCCAACGAAACGTGGAGCCCAAACAAGGGTTCCATTTTGGGGGGGACACGAATTTGCCGCAGAACTTTTGAACCAGCAACATAATAAGTTACTATTATATGGTGCTTCTTACCAACGGAGTGACAGCAGGTCACCAGCAAGATTCTTAAGGAAATATTGGCATTTATTAAATCCATCAAAATATTGTTATTTTTTTAAGTGGAGATGTTAAAAAAGGGATGATTTAATCAATATTAATCAATAAAGCTGAGGATTTGCCAATGGATATGCCAGGAATAACTGAAAAGTAAGACCCATGAGTGTTAGTGTTATTGATACTCATGGAGATACTTGAAAACCAGCTTCTTCCTAAAATGTTGCATGCCCAAATTTATGACCATCAAGAAATTGGTGTCAAATAATCTTCTACGTCATGGGATGTTTGGTGTTATTGTGAAACCAGGGCGATGCCCAGTCCCTGGTTGATGCTTAACAGTTCAACATGGGGATGAAATCCTATAAGATCATCCAGGCAGTGGGATTGGGTGATCAGTGGATCAGTGAACATCAAGATCAATTATAATATCACATACCCTCTGGTAAACTAACAGTTTGCTATTGAAAATGGCCATAGAAATAGTGGATTTTCCCATTAAAAATGGTGATTTTCCATAGCAAACTGTTAGTTTACCAGAGGGTACTATCATAAGTTACAAAAATGCGGGAACATCTCCCATATATCTCACATGCATATGCTGCATATGCTGCATATGTACTGGAGCATTGGGCCCAAGATTCCGACGGAAAGATGTGACAACCAGCTGACAGATGGCCATGACCTGCTTGGGGAACTGCAAAATCACTTAGGATCAAACCAAAAAAAAAGTGTTCCCAGCTGCCACTTGGGTGTAGGTCCAGAAAATCCACCGTGTCCAAGACTGTCATTGAACACAAATGAAAAAGAACAAATCATGACAATTATGAAGTTATCGACTGCACCGTTGATGCTGATAGTCCACCATTTATAGTACAAAACAATCATCATCCAGCCTTGACCTACGGCTGTGCCAGGCGTTTTCTGGGTTCCTGCGGTGGCTTCCAAATTTGCATTCCTAGTGGCCTGAGATCGATGTTTCTCAGATAGATCAAATGCAGCAAAGGATTTCTTGCTCCAGAAATGTCATGATCTGGGATTCCATGAACCACCGAAGGAGGCTACGACTGAGGACTTCTGTCGTAAGATCTAAACAATCGAAATCTGTCAGATGAGCCTCTCTTCCGCTGTTTCGGAGCGGAAAAGTGACAAGTCACCAGTGGCCAGGTTGTTGTTGAATATAAAAAAAATGGAAAAAATGAATTATACCCCAGTTGCAACAATGATAGCTATGATTATTGAATCAATTGGCGTTGTTAGTATTACATGGCATACTGTGGGTTATTCCATGTCATTCCCAAACATGACATCCCCATGTCGCTTTTCATCACCTTGAGGTCACCTCCAGGTGCCATGGACCAGTTTGACCAAGGGCAGGTGCTCTTGGGGATTCGGCCTGGCCTTCCATGGATTGCTGGTTCCAAAACCATCACAGCAACATATAACTTACTATGGAACCAACAGGAATGGGTAACATTACCAACATTAGGAATAGCTTTTAACATATATTATCATTCTTAATTGATGGTTTATAACTTACATATAACCAACAATGGAGCATAAACAACAAGATGGGGCGTATGTTCTTTTACAGGATGCCTCATGTTTGAGCAGATGCCTGATTTCGAGTTGGGAAAATGGGAAAATGACCATCAACCATGCTGGAGCCTGGAAACTTTCAACGAGCAGTGGCCACTTCAGCTGATTGGTGAGAGTCAGGGGTTGTACCATTTGCTGTGGGTTGATAATACCAACAGTAACAATAAGAACAATAACATATAACAACAACAATAATCATGATAATAATAACAATAAGTGGTGCGTTTGTTTGAACCTGTAGTTTTGACACAGATTGGTACTTTCGACCAAATGTCTCTGTTGGGCTGCACTTGTTGCGCGCGGCAATGGCCCAGTTGCTGAACGGGGTGTTTCCAAGATGTCAAGCATTCAATCGTTGTGTCACTCAAGCACGAACCGCTAACCTACAACCGCTAAGGAGCTAAAATAGCTAAAAGCTAAATGAAAACCCCAAGAATCTGAGGATATCTGAGTTATAATGAGATAATCACCAACCAATTTATAGAGATATCCTTCTCCCTAGGATCCCGCATCCGTTGTTTAGGGTTCCCCCTCGTGCAAATTCTGTCAGATGGCACATCTACCACTTGCTGTGCAGGCGCAGAATCCTCCGGTAGGGAGTTATCATCCATGTATGACAATTTGAATAGAAGATGTGATAGAAATGTATCAAAGATTGCAGAAAATCTTGAAGTGTTTGTTGAAACCTCTCAAACATATCAAGATTTGAAGAGATGTCCCACCCTATTTTCTGGTGTTCGGCACAAGATGGGTAAAGGCACTTCCCCATACATCGTAGACGATTCCGTCATGTCACCATCCTATATGGAGAACCCCTTGGGGCCCGGTGGGCTTCTGTAAAATGATGCAAAATGATGCTTTCGTTTGGAGCCATGGTGCTGAAGTGTCGCTCCAGGCCAAAATAGCAACAGAATAGCTGTATCGGCGTTTAGATGTGTTTGTCGTGTCCAATGCCTGGGGTGATGCTGCGATCCATTCAAGCTGGTTCATATCCCCAGTTGCCAGTGATGGTTAGGAATTTCTCCAAACTGAACCTATCAGATAACCAGTATAGACATGTATAGACTGTATAAAGAGTAAACAACCGGTACAAGTAGTTTTTCAACACAGGCGACCATGGTGGACAGGTTTTATCGCCGCCAGGTGATCTCCAGCACGTGGGCCAGAGATTCTCATGACCTCTTTGACTTCGAGGTGTGCGACGATGGTAATGATAGTTTTGGCATGAGGCAGTCCCACTTATGGGTGCCACTTTTCAAATGGATGTCCAAGTCACTGAGAAAACACCATTTGAAAGACAAAGTCCTTGGCCTCTACAATAGATGATGAGTTGTTTTTTTGTGCGTGTCCACACTGGATTTGGTGGTGATGACGATGATGATGATGATGATGAGGAGGAGATCTGGGGCCCCCCTTGAGCAGGGAAGAAACCAACCCCTCACAAGATGGGGTATGACCCATTCGACCAAAATCGGTCAAGCCTAAAATCCAAATTGTGTGAACCCCAAAACAAAACCCTTATGTTTTTGATGTTTTTGTTATTCAGCCAGAAACTGGGAGAAACCCACGGCCAGGCTCATCATTTGCACACGAAGACCTTCACAGTGCTGCAATCCATGGTCAAAAGCCTAGAGGAGCTGCACGCTGCACAGTCGGGATGGTTTGCCGAGACCTTGTCGACAGTTGGCGACTTCAAATTTCTAGCACTTATTATCCATCCATAGCCATCCATTTTGAGATAACGATCTTATGAATCTTATGCAACCTTCATCGTTTTCCAGTGATATGGCTAAATCACCACTCATCCTGATTTCTCAGCACGTTCTCAGCACGTTGACCTTAAGGTCTGTGTCCGCAACGACACAGAGGTGATGATGATGCGCGAGAACTCGTCGGATGGCCCTGGGGGATCGGCAATCAGTTGAGGGTATGGATGCGTTGAACCGGGTTGAACCGGGTTGAGCACCTGCCAACTATGTTGGCAACCTAGCCATACCTAGCCTATTATCAGTGGAGGTCGTCCCCGAGAGTTTCTCTGGTGTAGTCCCACTGTGGAGCCGCGGAGCCAGCGCTTTGAAGGTTTCAGTCTGCTGTTTGAGTACGAGTTGGGCTGTAAAGGAATGTTTCTGCTGAGTACCTGGAAATAAATGCCTTACGAATTCTTTTGTCCACATACCTTGGACGGCTCTGAAAGTTGCTTTCAATGAACAAAATTCGAACAAAAACAGAAGATAAAGGGCTCCAAAGGACTCCAAAGGACTCCAAAGGACTCCAAGGACCAGGACTTCTCTCCATTCGCAGCGCATTTTTGGCGGATCCAAAGAGGTGAACACCGTGGAAGACGATGATTCCAATGTCGCTGTTTCAAACAAGGTACACCTCAAAGATTAACGCCAATCATCATCATGGAAATCGCATAAAGCGTGGTTTTAAGAAAAGGATATGAAAACTGAGAGTGTTTTGCCATCTTATCCCCTCGAATACCAGGGATCCCATTGGAAACTACCATTTCTGTAGTAGGATCAGCCTGAGCTGGTGCTAGGTCGATGCCAATGGGCAGCGACCCACTTCTTCGCATCATTCAGAAGGCATTGCTTGGAGACCATGAGAATTTTGGGGAGAGAAACCAATTTTATTCATAAAGATGTTTTGAAGGTAAAACAATCCTTTCAGTTTCATCATTTTTTCTCCACTTGGCAAGTTGGCGCATGTGATAGAACCCAGGATCCCATGGATGGGTCATAATCATGGCTTTTGCTACGCTAGATTATGGCTTTTGGTTCTCCACAAGAAATGTTGTGATCCCCTGAAATTGTTCCCTCAGTGCAAAAACAAACATACCTCGCACCATTGTAACCAATCCTCCTTTAACCATGTGACCAATTTTCCAGTTGCGAAGTGGACAACTCACCCTGTCGGAATGCTGAGCGGACCCCTAGTTCACCCTCGGGAAGCGTGCGTCCACGCCAGGATGGATATTTCTGGGTGGACAAGGCTGGGAAAGCGGGTCCCAACGTTCCTGGAATATGGCCTGAAATTGGCATCTGGGTTTGGGTCGGGCAACTAAAACTGTTGGATGTGAGTAAGACAGGGGGTTCAAAGTGATACTGAAAGTGGACTGGATGCATTTTGGAGACAAATATTTTAAGCGTTTTAAGGCACTCCTGGATGAGCACGTTTTGGGCAAACCACTTGGTTCAAATCCTTATTTTTGAGTGATGTGTTTCCTATTGTTGGTTGATTAAAGCGTGCCGATGGACGCACATCACACCAATGTTGGTGTAGTGTTTAGCTGTTCGAAGTTGGGGATTCCAAATATTTTGAGATGAAGCATTCCCAGTTGTACATGGCCTGTGCAGGCTTCTCCCAGCACCAGTTCCAAGAAGTGCGGAAGCTTACGGTGCTGAATGTTTTGGATCCGTGAGTTTGAACATAGGCTGCCCTTAAATCCACCCGTTAGTCATCATGTTCCTTCTTAAAACTGCCCTTTAAAAGATATGCACACCCATGTTCATATATTATACTTGAATACATATATCATATGATAATATATGTATGATGGCAATAGATTGTTCTGGGGAAAATTTTACAGAGCGCCTCATTGCCAAGCCAGGTTTGAGACTTATGGATCCAGATGCAAAGCGAATTTAAGTGGGGCACCAATGGAACTACATTGCAAGCAATGCAAGCAGCATGTTTTAGTGTTCAAACGGGAGGCCAAAATGTTCGAAGAAATCCTAAACGGAACACATCCCAGCAAAATCTTAAGAAAAGGTGGTTTACATTTACACATAATTACATGTTTTGTGGTCCTCGGAGAATGAGGCCAATTCAAACCTCAACCGATGGCATTTGGGGCAGGAATCTATTACTGAATGATTCACATCCCCATTCATGAGTGAGCATCAAAGCTATCCAGGAGGATTTGGGCCAATGTTTATTTCTTTATCTACGCAAGTTTGTTTGCTCTTACAGCTTCTTTTGTTTACGTACTACTCATGTGTACACGTTTATGTACATAAATCATCATAAATATATACACGCAAGGCTTTTGTGATTTTCTTGAAGCTACACCACCCTCTGTAGAGCCAAGGCTGTGGCGTGTCGTTCGAGATTCCAGTGCTGGGTCGGGGCACCCCAGTCATCACCAGGTGTGAATCCCAGCGATGAATTAGAACGACCTGCCACGTCACTGAAAATGATGGTTAGATATGGTTAGATATGGGTATGGATCAATACCTATTAATACCATTTTTAGTGGGATGAACATCCATTTACTAGCTATTTTGATGTGAACTACAGGGGTACAAGGTTTTGACACATCCCCATATAGAAGAACCATCCCCTCCAAAAATTTCAGGTTGCTGATTCCCAGGCATCACCTGACCGAAGGCGACATCATCAAATTGGGTCCCGGATGCCCAGTGATGCTCCACTCATGCAGCCCATTTAGCGCATCGGTGATTTGCAGCCATCATGGATATATTTTCCAAAGATTGGTTGATCAATCAATCATTCACCAAACGAGAATGGCTTTCTCATGGTTTCTCGATATTGTTATACTCCAATCATTGATCAGTGGCTGTATCCTCAACAACGGTCTTTTAAGCAATGATCGGAGTTTCACCAGCTATGTTTTTTGCCCACAACGTAGAGATTTAACCCACAATCATTTTGGAATTCCCCGACTCATTTTTGGGGTTAACTCGGAGAGATCAGGAACGTTGACCAAGTCTGATTTTTGGTCGGTCTGGGGCACACCCATTGTTGGGTTGAATCCCGACTACAGGACTTGTATCTAGTCGCATCTTGCATCACAGCAACTAAGTGGAAACAGTGCATGTGGGCTTAGCTATCCCAAGTTGATGGCTATCGCCAAGTTGATCGCCCAGGATTTATGGCTTATGATCACAAGCTTAACCAATTTCACCACTTCATTATGATTGGTTACACTTATACAGTGTGTTTAAAAAAAAAAACATCCCCCTGGTTGGTGATACCAATATTTAGATATTTCGTAGTATCATCCCCATGCTATGGTCATGGCATCATCTCCCCCATCCCGGAATCAACTCCCCAGGTCGTTTCAAGTTCAAGGTCCGGCAACTTGGAACCAGTCCGCTGGTGCGGAGCCCAGCCCGGCAGATGGTGGTTTCATTTGGAAAATGGGGGGTTTTAAGGATTTTGATAAGGATAGAATTGGGATGGAATTTCGGGATTTTTCCATGGTACTGTAATTTTGATGGGATTTTTGAGGGTTTGATGATATGTACAGGGATTCAATGAGTTTTTACATGTTTTTACTTAACAAAACAATGGTTAGGGATCCAAAAACTTGGAATTGACACCAGCAGAAATGATCCACCATTGGATTAAGGATGCCTTTTTTCCCTGCACATCTCGCTTGGTGTTTTCAACGATGTTTTATTTTCCGATCAGGTGATGATCCTGATTGACCAATAGCTTTCAGGGGTTGAAACCGACCAGCGACAAAGATAGGACAAATGGCTAAGAACCCAAGTAAAGTTGCGTTTAGCTTGCAAGATCTAGGTATGTCTATACATATGCAAGGACGATAGTGAGGGTGACTGTAGCCAGGGCAGCATATCCCCGGCAGAAAAACATCACCATCGACTTGGATCAAAATCGGGTCCCGAAAATCCCATGGGACCTCCGTTTTGGTTTTGGTCATGTTCCCCATCTCTTGGGAAAGTGGGGCATCCACTTCCTATACCCACATGTGCCATGGTCGAAACTGAAGCAAATGACCCATATTTTCGGCCAGGTTATCAATCCATTAACAGGGATTCAGCCATCATAAGTCCCTAATGATAGCGGGATGGCCCCAAAGAAACAACCACGTTTTGGCCATGGCACAGATAACCTTCCGAGGCGCAACCTGAGCTTCGCTTGGACGACGCGAATGGGGCTTGTCTCGCAACCCAGGGGTCGATCATCCACAAGGCAGTTGGATTATGCTCGAATGGGGAGAACACAGTTGAATACATCTATGATGTATGGTATTCTATGATTATGGGATCCCAAACGTTGTTCTTTTCAGCCTTCACAGCAATGGCATTTCGACCTGAACTGATGGTATCATTCACGCATCCAGGTTGTCCCGCCAGTTTGGATCATGAAGCGCTGGCGAACCTTGGTAAAGAAGGGAAAGAAGGGGGACGGGACCTGGATTTGGACCACAGTTCTGGTTGCATCTCCCTCGTTGCCCTGCGATTCTTGGAAGTCGCATACAGACTACCGCAGTGGTTTTAGGGAGACCAAAGGGGATCCGGACCAGCAACGATTGGGGCTACATGAAGATCATGAAGGTAAACAGATCAGAGAACATCGTTAGCCAGACAGCAGAGACGTCACTAGCAAGAGTTAGGGTAGTTGTGCCTAGTCTCCATGCACCAACCGACCTTTTAGCTGATGATAGGCTGGTTGGTGAAATTATGAAGCTGGTTCACCAAACATGTTCTGGAAGATGTTTGAAAAAGACGTGTTCAAAGAGTTCAAGGGTTTTGAAGATTGCATTGCTATTGTTTCTGGAACGGCTGGGCGGCCGAAGGTGTGGACTCCCCACATTTGTTGGTGAATACGTTCTTTCATCGTACCAGCAAATTTGAGGCAGAGAATCAAAGATTATCACAGCCTCAGTGGCTAGCGGCTAGACTATGTTCTTGTTTTTGTGTTTTTTCTACCCCTCTGGGAATTGGTCAGAAATGTTTGTTTGCGCAAGATGTAAATGTTTCATACTCAACAGCATCAACCAGTATGTAACTTCGATAGTTCTAAAATGTGTATCTAAATCAAAACGTGTTTGGCACTTGATATGAGAATGGATCAAGACCATATTTCGGGGGGATGAACATCCATAAATCTCAGCTATTTTTGATGTGAAAAACCGGTTTCCACTTTGAACCTTCGGTGTCGCCGAGGGCCACTCTCTGTCGCATTTGCCTTTTGGAGGGTTCCACCGAGGACCGCCAACTGGATGGGGATCTTGTAGAAACGGCAAAAGAAGTGGATCCTCAATGTTCCTGGAATCACGGGATGTGGTAAAGGCCAATTGATAAAGAACAATAAAGATATTATATATATATACATGTTTTTCTCGAATTTTATGTCCACAGACTTAGGAGGTTCACTTAGAGCAATGGGAATTCGGGTTGCAACTTTTCTCTGGCGCTAAAAGGGTGGATGGTTTTGTGACAAAGGGCCCGGTGCCAAAGAGTTTTTGATGGGAGTCTCCATTCACACGCTTATGAGATTTTGTTCAACACTTGAAAACCTGATTGACAAAACCGAAAACCATATATGTTCATTTTCGTTTGAAATTGCACCTCTACACTGGTTGCTCACAATCCCATGTGAGTTCCAGAAGGAGTTCCACTTAGCGATTTAAGGGATTCATAGATTTGGATGAAAATACCCATCAAATCCCATCAAGCAACAATCCAAAGTGATTTGATGCTATTTGCCAATCAATACCTCGTTTTATGTTGGAAAAACTAACCCTCGACTTGGTTGCATTCACCGACCATTGTAACGGGTTGGACAGATGTTCTTTCAGCCGAACATCAGAAAAGCTCTTTGAACCAGGGATGACTACGGTAAAACCAAGAATAATTCATACCCCGTTTACATCCACTTACCTAACTTTTCCTCTTTTTTTGGTTGACCTAAAAACCAGAGGTTCCCCGGTTCCCTTCCGCAGGAAGATCCCTTGATCAGCCCATGTATGTGCAAAGGCTCCATTGAGCGCGGGCACCAAGGTGATATCACGGTGATATCCCATGAATGATACCCGGCCTGGTAAACTAACAGTTAGCTATTGAACATGGCCATAGAAATCGTTGATTTATCCATTAATAGCATGGTGATTTTCCATAATTATGTTGGTTTACCAGAGGGTACTATGAAATGGTTTATATACTGGCTACATTAGTATTGTTATAAACATTTATAAAATATGATTTGGTTATACTGACTCATTTATCGTAAAAAACTGAATGTTAATGGGATGTCATAGGCTTTAATTGTGATTTTATGGGTATTTAAATCTTATGGGAATAATGTGCTATATAACCAACAATATGAATCATGTTTGTGGATATTTGGCTGTGTCTGAGAATGTGGGTATATCCCCCACTTATGGATATGATACTGGATGTGTTTGCACTTAAAGAAGAGTATCTAATATATTGCTCCAGCTATATCATATGCCAATAATATCCAGCTACTATATCCCAGATACCTCAATGAACAACCAGATGTGTTATATGTTTTTTATATGTTAAAAATATCCCATGAATATTCCATGACAACTTCTTTTTTAACATCGCTCGCAACCAGCAGGTTTGTACATTTGGGTTGTCTTCGCTATTGGATCCGTGGGCGCTTGAACCTCACGGACGGTGCCACTGGAGGTGGCCCAGTTGGTGCATGGGATTGGTTGGTACTTTCGAATGGAATTGGAATGGGATGTGGATTTTGGATGGCTAGTTTTTGTGGATTCTAATGGTACTTTGGGGGATATTCATGCATTTTAATTGGATTTAGTGAAGTTTTTGGATACTAAAATGGATGGAATTGATGAAGGTCCAAGTACCTGTTTTTTCATCAGGATTTATCACAAACCAGTCATTGGAAATCCCCAGAGTCACAGAAAGTAACACATGACACAAGTCTTGGGGCTCAACTTCCTGTGTTCATGGGAAGTTCGTGGACTTTCACCCAGAGTACAGCTCACTCCAGGCAGCTACTTCTACCGGCCCTTAGCGTGTGAGCTTTGCAAGGCGACGGCGTTATCAAGGGTGGCCAGTGACCAACAGTGAGATCAGTCCCATGGGTGGCCAGTGAAGGGATAATTTGATGGAGCAATGGAGCTGAAACTTGGATATTCATGGACATTCGAGGATTGCCTCCTAAAAGGTTTTTGGGTCAGTTGGCAACATAATATGAGAAAATTGTTTGATTCCATCCCCATGGTTGTGATAATAGTATTCCCCCATGTTTATCCATCTGTGCAATTGTATCCACATGTTTGTTGGGAAGCTCCCCCAAAGTTGTCTCCGCAAAGCCTGTCATCATGGGTTGATTGCAACCCTCCTTCATTTGGTCATTTGGGGATGATGGGAATGGATCAAAAAATGCCAACCCAACATGGAAGTGGTCCTTACACGGTTTTTTGACATGTTTTTTGCATGGTTTTCACATGGTTTAACACCAAAATTTGACGATTTTGTTAGGTCCATTGGTGCACCTTAGAGTCGACCCATCCCCGACTCAGACGATTCTGACTGGAAGGCCATCTACCCAACCTATGTGACCACGGGTTCCGAACGGATGCCGCTGGTGGAGGTGCCGATATCCTCGTGATATGTTCTTGGTTCACCGGGAGCACTGCCGGTAGCTGGAATCGAAATAACCCGAAGCACATCAGGCTCCACGCCCTGACAGGTGCCAAAAACAACACCACCTTTCATCGTCCTGGAGAATCTGGTGGGGTGGCCCAGTGGCTATCAGTAATGAATGAAGTCAGTGAAGTTCCCTGATTCCTCTGATTCCAATTTTTCTCGCCACAATCCCGCAGATCCAGGTCGCATTGTGATAAGTGACGGGTTTATTCCGATGGGTGGTTTTTCGGAGGTTCTGAGTTTCAGATATTTGGATGTCATGATCTACCACTCACCCCAGGCAAACTTTCAGCTTCCCTCGGGGGGTGGAAGTAGATACACACACACATATGACATATGCATTTTCTAGATGCAGATAGATGTAGATATACAAGATATACACACTCTGGGCAATCCTTCCCGGCACCAATCCTCGCCACAATATTTTCCCGAGGTCCGAGATTCACAGCAACATGCTTCCAGAGGTCTTCATGTGCACAGCTCAGGAGCTCAGGTCCCTACGATGACTAGTTATGACTAGTTATGAGTTGGTGATTCCCGCGAGGATCTACAAGGATTTGATCCTTGCCTTCGATTGCGGCATGTTGAACAGTATGGCTGGCGAGATGTTTCACCAAGCGACAAAAGTGGATTGAAAAAAATGCTTACGTGGCAAAGTTGCAGGCAATGGGATTGGCAAGACTTTGGATTTGACATGGCGTCGACAAAAATGATCAAAATTGAAGGTTTGACAAAATGAAAGTTTAGCCCGAACTTGGAACAAGAAAATATGCTTCTCCGTTTAGCAAAGATGGGGGTGATTTGACCAGCTGACCACAAAGCAGTATTTGCCCAGAAGATTTGACAAAAAATCGATGGAAAAAAAGGGGTTCGGCAGTTCGATGCGGAGTTTTTCCATGAAAGACAATTTCAACTCGACACCATAGTTCTTCAGGGCTTGAAAGATGAACTCCCGGTTGCAAATCCTGAATTCTCCACCGATTCTCTCCCTGATGTGGAAAGATCCCTGGGAGAGACACCGGTGAATCCATCGAACCCCCGAACGCCAAGGTCATCTCCCTGGCCGAGAAGGTGGGAAATTCGTGGGAAGTCATGGAATGGATGGTGGTGAAATGTGGTGAAAATGGAGTGGGAGATGTTGGAATTTGGATAGAATTGGTTAAATTTGTTTAATGGATGTTGAACCTGCTGAAAGCTAATGTGGAACCTCCACAAGCACAATTTCCAGTAGGAAATTCATCTCCCGACCTTAGGGGTTCATGTTGAATTTTAGCGGTGTAGCCAGGTAGCGGTTCCACCTGTAACTAGTCGCAAACCAGAATTGTGCGAAGAGAAAAGTGAACGGACTATGGAAATCTGTGGAACATCACAAGACACAGCTTCTACGAAGATTTGGTTCCCATTGAAAGTTGAGCAGATCGGACTGGCCATCATTTTGCAGATTGGACTGATGACTCTGAGCCAGCAGAACGTTTGTTCCTTCCTGCTGTGGCTGAAGCAAAGTCTCAGTAACATCCAAACATCGCGACCACCACCCCAGTTAGAAATTACTCAGTAACCATGATGAATTCTTGCGCCATGGCAGCTACAAGAGTTAAACACACAGATCTGGTCCAGCATCAAGTTGGCATCGTGAAGCAGTTTCGAGAATTCTGGATGAAAGACCATCTTTGTGATGTTGTGCTGAGGAGCAGGGACGGTGCAGAACATCGCGCCCACGCAGCTCTGCTGTCTGCAGCCAGCAAGTTTTTCAAGAATCTGCTGGGTGGATCCTTTCTGGAAGCAGACCGGGTGCAACAAGGACAGCCAGTGGAAATTGCTGCTTCCGCCGCAGCGGTGTCGGCCTTGCTTGACTATATCTATGGTGGGCAGCCGGAGGTGAATCTAGAAGCTGGTCTTGAACTCCTACGACTGGCGGAGGCCTACGACTTGCCAAAGTTAGCAAGTGTGATTGAGGCAGGCTTCTGTGCTTCCTTGAACAGCACTTCTGCCCTGCAAATCTTGCAAGAAGCACATGGCCTCCATGCTCTGAAGGCTGCATGTGAAGAGAAGGTTGCAGAGGATTTTCGGACTTGCAGCCAGCACCCAGACTTTGGAAAGCTGAGTTCTGGTCAGCTGGCCCGAATTTTGAAAAGAGAAGATTTGTGTGTGTCTCGGGAGGAAGTGGTGTTGAAGGGTTTATTTAATTGGCTTAAAGTTTCCAAGGACAGGAATGCTTCGCTGGCTATGCTGCTACAACTTGTGGATTTCCAGTCAATTTCTATCGAAAATCTGCTTCGCCTTGGTCGTTTGCCTGTCCCTGGTCTCAATGGTGACATCCTTCACCGAGAAGTTCAAGACGCTTTGCAAGCTCAGGGCCGAAACAGAACCCAAGGTCAAAAGAGCTTTCGTCCAAAGAGGCGCTGCTTAGAGCATTGGTCGCCAGGTTTGGGTGCCAGCACTGAAGCTCCATGGGGCCTTGTGTTGCAAGTACAGTTCAAACATTTGCGTTGGCAAGAAGGGACCATTTATGCTATGGACCTCAAGGGTGGCATCCAATGTTGGATACCTGGAGACTCGGAACCCCGGATGCGACAGCGTGCCACGGTGACTGGAATCAACAACCTGGGGCGTTTTCGTGACCTGGCCATTGCGCCCACAGGTGAGATCTTTGTGGCGGATTATGTAAATAGGAGGCTGCTTAGTGTCCACAATGGAGTTGCAGGCTTAGTGCTTGATGACTTGCAGGATGGTGAACAAATGTGCTGTTCGCCCAATGGAGTGCTGTACGTGCTGACTGCGCAAGCTCTGCAGAAGTTAGAGGGCTCAAGACTCCAGACAGTGAAGGCCCTCGCGGATTTTCCAGAAGACTTGGAGTTCTTGGCCACTGCCATGTTTGTGACGAAGGAAGAGATTATCTATATCCTTGATAACAAGAACAACCGCGTTCTACGCTTCAATACAGCTGAGTCCTTCAAACCTGTTGTGGTGGGACAGGTCCCAGCCGAGCACCAGCCCGACCTAAGGGACTTGTTCGTAACTGAAGGTGGAACAATCTATGTTGCAGACCATGGTCAGAGAAAGGTGTTGGCCATCCGTCCAGGTGACGCAACTTTCACAGAAGTCTTGGAGTGTCCAGGCGAATCACGCCCCGTGTCACTTGTATTCCAGGACAGATCGCTGTATGTGAGCATGGTGCACCCTTGGGATGTGACATCTGGCGGCGTCTATGAGTATGAGTTGCCACCTGTTTTGCAGCTTGAGTGAGAAAAGAGGAGGCCCCAGAATTGGTGTTTCAATAGCTCAAAATGATCCTGTTTCAACTAGCCCTAGCCAGACTTTCCTTCAGGAATGGATGCTGTGCCACATGCATGGGTTGAAGCAAGACCAGGGTCCTTGTATGAAAGGATTGCCAATTCAGGGGTTGAGACATTTTCTTGGAAGGCTGGCTGTCGGATTCCATACGGAATTTCACAATCACATTGGTGAAGTTTGACCAGTGGTCCAATACTGGATACAGCGCTGGCTGATTGCTGGTGTCAAAACTATTCCCATCCATTCAAAACAAGTATGCAAAGCATCAAGCTGGGGATCCGTCCATGTTTGCAGCTTCCATGGTTGCTGTTTTTGGATGGTGCTGTTGAAATGGAAAGTTTCGGTGCAATTTGCTGGTATCATGTGGTATCTTGGTTTTGTATTGGTTTTGTCAGAGGGTACTGTTTCCAATTTTTGGAGCATCCCCTGAATGTTCTCACCCTTTGGGTCCTAGAGGATTCTCAGTGGTACCACCAGTCTGGTGGAGATCTCGTCATTGGTCTTGATGGTGGATTTCCCATCTTAACCTTACTTTACCTTACTTAACCTATGGCTATCCTATGGCTATCCTATGGCTTTCAGACCTCGATGCCGTGGCCGCAGGTCCTAAAGCTGGGCCGTGGCCACGAAAGCGATGTGCGCATCGCCGACGTGTCGATCTCGCGCCGGGGAGGCCCAGTGAACCCCAAGTCATAGCTGGGATGCAAATGGATGTGAATAACCCACTAAAAATGTATCTATAGGTATTGACCCATACCCATTTCAGAATTTATAGGATATTTATAGGATATATGATGAGTTTATGATCATACTATGATGATATTATGATGTTTATATGTGTTTTGATGTGTTTCAAATACAACGAAAAAAGATCAAAGAGATGAGAAACACCCCCGTAACCAGGTGTTGGATCTATTTGGGCTTCGGCATCTTTGTTGGGCGGATTGCAAGGGGATATGGGACAACATGTGGTGGAATCCGCAGCCAAAACACGAAATGCTGGTGGTGTGGGCCCCCACACCGAAGGAGACATGTAATTCTTCAGGAATGATTCAGATTGCCTCAAAACTGAAATTGACTTACTGCACAGCCAGGATGACAATAGGTTTGCCAAATTTTGCTAATAGGTTTTCACATATTTTTCTGAGATGGTTCCCATTCTTGAGCTGTGTTTCAGCTGAGGTTGCCATGCGATGATCCGTTTCAACCAGGGCAACTTCGTTTTGGAGGAGTGGTATCATGGCTATTCCTGTTAAGAATCCTATGATCCCATGATATGTTGATAGAAAGTGATAAGAAATAGTAGACAGATGATCATCTTTCCTAAATCACAAAGCAGTTTTATCAACAGTGATGTCCTTGATGAAATGATGTTTTTCAGGAATGGTTGTCCTAGGTGCAAACATATTGTGGTTATTATTTGTGTGCGTTAGATTTATCATTTGTTGACGTGTGCGTTCATACATATACAAAATGCAGATGGGTATTTCTGCACATGAAGATACAAGACATATGAATGATATAACCCATCCCATCTCATCATAAGCATCACCGGTGCCGATTTTCCAGGACAACGACTCCAAGTTCGGCACTCTGGTGGCCATGAAGAAGCCACGGCTGCTGGAGCACCTTGGATTTTCCCAGCAGCGATTTTGATGTCACCAGGTTTTTCACGAGCAGGTTTTTTCCAAATGAAGATTATGATAAGCCCCGAACCACACACCTGTTTTTTTCCTGGGAGGGTGTCCCCGGTCGTGGCTTGCACCGAGATCCAATAGCACGGTCTCCATCCAGATGGGCCGCACGGTGCGAGATCTGCGGTGTATGATGTTGTTTTACCGGTTTACCCCCATGTTTTACACCAAAACAATGTGAAAACATCACGATGTGTTTTTGGGGACAAATATCTTTTCTTGTTAGAAATTGCAATGTTTGGATAATTTTGGATGTAGAAAACAATGTGGAAATAGAAACAATACAAGGTTTGGGCTTTGCGGTGTGTGAATGTAAGCTGTGGGGCGCCCAATAACATATGGTTTGTTTCTGGACACATGGTCAAAGTTCGTTTACTGCCAAAATTAGATGATGTCCTACTTGTAGATACAGATCACCGGGTGTCAAATCCACAAATCAAATGGGGCGGTGAAATAGAGGAAACTAAAGGTGGATATCCCTTATTCGTGGACGCACACACACACAGGTCAAGAACACCTTGTGTGCCGAGAATCACCACAAAAAGCCGGGGTTGGAGTCGTGTTTCGTTCTCAGCAGATGGTGCAGATAGATTGTGAACCTTGCCACCCCTGCTATTACTAGACCGTAAGCAGGCCAATCATGCGTTGT